GACTCTGAATTGGAAGCATGGGATGATATGTACTAATGCTTGTCTGAGGACATGGAAACTCAAGGTAGATGAGAAGAATCAGGACAAGAAACGTTCCTTAATGGCTGTTTATGGAGAAACAGATACACCTGAAAAGTTTGGTCTAGTCTGATCTTGGCAGGGAAGCAAGCTATAGTCTAGTCTTTATGTGCTCACAGTAAATGTCATTCAACAATACTTTAAAAAATAATTATTATTGGGTATGTTCATGATATGTGTATGGGCATGTGTGCCACAGCATATTTGTGGAGAACTGTGTCATTGGTTCTTGCCTTTCATGGATCGAATTATGTTGGCAGGCTTGCATGGCAAACACCTTTGCCTGGTGAGTCCTCTTGCTATCCCTCAACACTATTGAACTGTGCATTTCAGGTAATTAGGATAGTGAATTTTCATGTGCTTTTTTTTTTCCACAATAAAAAGAAGAAGCATTTCTATGAGTATTGAAACTGTTCATTAAAAAAGCCCCAAACAAATGGAAACTATGGGCTTTTGCCAATAACTGCTGACTAATGGTCCAAAACAGCACAGCTACCCACTGTTACCAGCACCTTGCCTTCCTTCATCAATCCCTCCATTGTTTTAGATTACCTTACAAATACAGTGGCAGATTAGGACTAAGAGTACTTGGGAGGTAGAAGGGAGGTTTTCTCATGTAAAATAGTTAATTTAAAAAAGTGATTAGAATTTAGTTGTCTAAGTGCCTTCCTGTCATCTCTTGGTGGTATATATGTGTTTTACATATTTTAAACAATATTTTTAGCCGGGCACTGGTGGCGCACGCCTTTAATCCCAGCACTTGGGAGGCAGAGACAGGCGGATTTCTGAGTTCGAGGCCAGCCTGGTCTACAGAGTGAGTTCCAGGTCAGCCAGAGCTACACAGAGAAACCCTGTCTCAAAACAAAACAAACAAAAAAAACCAACAATATTTTTATTAATTCTTTGAGAATTTTATACAACATATTTTTAATATATTCATTTCCCCCATTTAGCAATCTCCACTCTGAGATTTCCTTTTTCTCCTTGCCTATATTTTTTAATAGTTAGGAAATCTTTAATTGGTTGGTAGCTCCATAAATACAGTCCTGATATTAAAGTCTTCTAGAAATAGTTCTCTAGTGTTGGTCTTAAGAAAAAAATATTACATTGGTCATTAGCTACTTTTAGAGACTTGTGTAACTTTACTCCTTATCTTTATGACATTAACATTTAAAAATCAGCAACTCAGAAAACAAAGAGTTAGCCTTATGTTCTGAGTGCGGCACTTCCTAAGAGTGACATAAATAGGAAAGACGAATAAAGCTCACTCGGTTCAGCGGGTCAGAGTCTAAAATTAAACCATGAGTAGGGTGCAATGTTCATTTTGTTCCGAGCAAACTAGACAGGTTTTCCCTTGCATGATAGAGTTTGTTGTACTGGTGTACTTCTTTTGATTTGTCTAGGGAAAATAACTAATTCTTACATAACTCTATAACTTCTGTAGTGTTTGATGGGTTGGGAAGACAAACCTTACTGAATATTGTGTTCTTCCTGACACACACACTGAACTTGCTTATCTAAAACACCAGCTCTTAAGGAGATACCCTCTGAGTACTCCTCTCTCTACTATGCGAAGGTCACTCCATTTTCATTTTCTGACTCATAGACTTGTATCTTGTGCTGAGGTAACCACTCTGTGAACTTGGTAACATGTCAAAAGAAACATTTTGCTTTTGTTTGTTTTTATTTTTTGAGAAAAACATGCTAGGATTGTATAAACTAAACCCTTTTTGGAACACTGGTACAGTCTATGCTCGTCTGTGCTAGACTAACAAGCCATAGATACAAATTGTCTCTCTAAACATAATTCTTGACAAACACCTGGCTGGGCAGTGGTGGTGCACACCTTTAATCCCAGCACTTGGGGGGCAGAGGTAGGCAGATTTCTGAGACTAGGCCAGCCTAGTCTACTGAGTGAGTTCCAGGACAGCCAGGACTACACCGGAGAAACCCTGTCTCACAAACAAACAAAAAAGAAGACAAACCCCTGTAATTCATATAAACTTTCCTCTTTTAACCCTTAAGAGGACCTTCAGACCCTTTCCAAATGGGACACATTGTAGATTACTGCCATTGGTGCTTTTGAGTTATAATTCTAAGATGCTCAAATAAACACTTTAAAAAAAAAACTTAAAAGCTTTGGATAGAAATATATATCGAAAATATTAGGTGAATATTCTAGTTGGTTCTTACTTAAACAAGCAATGTAATTTGTGAAGCTGAATAGTATATTAGTAAACTCAGAAAAATAATCAAACAACAAATGCATAAACAATCACCTCCCCCACCTCCACCCCCAGACAACTACAAGACTTTCTGGTTTGATCATGAGACTTGGAGTATGGTCTAACAGTAGGGAATTGTTGTTTTCTTAGATATTGAAGGGACTTTGGGCAGCTCAAGTGTGGCAAGCATGGTTCTGGCAGGCCTTTCCCTTTTCTCCTACTCTCCCCTCCACTCCCCACCCCTTGCTAAAACAAACAGACAAAAACAAAACACAAAACCAAAAAACAAAACAAAAACAAAAAAACAACCAACCAACAAACAGACAAACAAAAAACCGGTTAGATTACATTCCTAAAGCTAGCCACCAAGGTCTATTTCCTTATTTGGCCACTTCCTCCTCCTGAGGCCAACTACCAAGGTACAGCAATCCCCCCCCACCCCTTGGCTCACTTAACATCCTCAGTTATAATTAAGTCCCTCATCTCGACACTGGGTTTCCATTTTATCCTTATAACCTCCTCCATTGCTTATGGGCCACTATGCAGAGACGGCCCTTGTTCCTCTCTCTCTCCTTCTCCCTTGTCCTCTATCTCCTGTCTTTGTCTCTCATTCCTGCCCTTTGTCCCTCTGGGCTGAAAGCTTGGTCTTAGGAGTCTTGAGACAATCCTGTTGCCCTCTTACAGGTATGAAAATGCTATCATGGTTGTGAAACCCAGAATATTTCTTCTTAGAAGAGTCAGCTAAATGATTTAAACATTATTGTGTCTGAAATTTATTCAAATGGTGACGCGTTCCCCCTCGTCCCGCAAGGAAGACGCGACACTGAGCTCTTCTTTAAGCAGTTTATTCAGGACCCTCCTTAACCATCTTCTGACCCCAGGAAGCCTCTGCCCATAGGCTAAATACTTCATCGGCGCTGACCTCAGGAAATGCCACATGGCAAATACCTATAGGCACACATATGCGGAAACCAAGCCAGATCATCAGCCCGAGCCAAATAAGGCACAGAGAGTACCCGCCATCAGGCCGAGTGAAGGCGGAAACCAGCGCCATCTTTAAGGCGCGGCACTGTGCGGCTCTCCACAAAATGGCATAAAAATGCAGACCCATTTTTTTGTGTATATAAAATGTGTTCACAGTGACTGATGGAATAAGGGCAAGAAACGACATGTTTAAAGTTCCTTACCAAGGGTGCTAAGAAGCACACTGAAGCAGTAATTTCAGTCTGTCCTTTGGGGTTGAGTTTGTAGTGCTGACCCCTGCCCTTTTTAAAAATTTGCTGATGCACGCCAAGAATTATTTAGCCCCACCAGACACAAATGAGCTGTTATGCATACTAAATTTAAAACCAACAAAAGAAAAAAAAAGCAATCAGTTACAATTGCAAGCTACCCCGAGGAAATAAAGCCACACAATGTTCTGCAGTATTATATATAGTTGTAGTCACTTTCTAAATGTTTTATAGTTTGGCTTGCATATTCCTATCATATCTGTATTAATGCCTGGTTTTTCTTTTTGCCAACATAATCTCAGACAGTCTATTTAGTTCTGGTCTATGAATACATCCCACAAAGACCTTCAGAATATATTTTTTTTAATTGTCAACCCATCAGTTTACCACCGAATTCTATATGACTTTGCAAGTTATTTCTTGAAATAATTTCAACCAGATAAGAATTTCAGAATTGCAATTTTGTTTTGTTCTTGAGATTTCAAAAAGCCAGACATTTAGAACATTATATACTAAAGGCTGACATAATTTGAAATGTAACTGAGTACACGAGGTGGTGGAGCCACGTATACTCAGTACTTACTATAGAAATCTAGAATTTGTCTTTGTAACTGGGCTCTTTAGTCAAAGACCGTCAGTGCTGTTCTACATAGTGGGCCACGACAGGCACATTGGTCAACCAGATTCTTCTGGGGTTAGCAACTGTCTCTGGTGTCCAGGAATGAGCTCACGTGACTTGGAAGGCTCGGTGCCAATCCGGTCAGAGGGCTGTACAGTATCAGTTCTACCCGCTACGCGGACTTTACCAAGATGGCCTCCAGGCCTCTGCGCCTCAGTCCGCGGGGGCAGCCATCTTGGTAAAGGCCAGGCAGAGGGTGGAGCGGGGTATGACAGAGCTGCAGCCTGGGACCGCATGGTCGGAGACGACCATCACCAAAGATGGGAAGGCGGCGCGCGCTAAGGCGCAGCGTGCAGCTGTTAGTGTCCTCAGCGGAGCTCGGGTGGCGGGGCCGAGAGAGGAGGAACGCGGACGCCGGGCGTGGCGACACCCGCCGGGGCTCCCGTGCCGGTGTGCCCGCGGCGGCGAGGCCCTCAGGCGAGGGGACGCGACGCAGTGCGCGCCCTCCCGCCCTCAGCGCAAGGTGAGCCCGCCTCTCGCTCCGCCCTCGCGAGCTAGCTCCGCCCCTCGAGCGTCCGCTCCATTCAGCAGCCTCGCTCCAATCCGCCCTCTAACCAACTCCGCCCCCGCCTCCCAGCCCCGCCTACCGGCATGGCCCCGCCCACACGCAGCGCACTGCCTCCCGGGGAACCTGAGCGCCTGCGGGAGAACCTCTTTGCTGTTATCCTGGATCCTCGCGGGAGGCGGTTCGGCGACCGCGGTTCTCCTTCGCAGGTTTGCTCCTTCGTCTCGGTATCGGCGTGGAGCAGCCTTTCTGGGGCTGTTCGGACACTTTGGTAAAGTGCAGCGGGTTTCGAGTAGGTTTCCAGCACCCGAGCCCTGTCTCTTGGAGATGCACTTGTGAGTGGCAGGCTTCTTTTGAATTATCGCACCTCTGGAGTTGCGGAGCTTGCATCTCTGGATCCGCTTACGTGAAGAGCCACCGTGTTTTTAGGCGCTTAGAGGGAATTAGCTGTATTTGGGATTTAAGATTCTACCATCCCTGCAGATTCCCAGGTTACAGCTCTACGATAGGAATACAAGTGGATGTATCTTTATTTGGTTGTATGTAAATGAATGGGGTCCACAACTTACTCAGAGCAACTTATTTCGGCTTTATGTATAGTATTTATGTTTTGAAAAATCCATCCCCAAAGCATTATTTCTGTTTTTCTTAAAGTAACTTATTTAACCACAGAGCAAAAGCACGAGGCAGGATTAGAGAAGGATGGCGAGAGACTTTTTTCTTTCTTTTTTCCTTTTCCTCTCTCTCTCTCTCTCTCTCTCTCTCTCTCTCTCTCTCTCTCTCTCTCTCTCTCTCTCTCTCTCTCCTCCCTCCCTGTGTTTCTCTCTGTGTCTCTGTGTGTGTCTCTCTGTCTCTCTCTCTCCCTCTCTCCCTCCTCCCTCTCTGTGTTTCGCTCTGTGTCTCTCTGTGTGTGTGTCTCTCTGTCTCTCTGTCTCTCTGTCTCCCTCTCTCCCTCTCTCCCTCTCTCCCTCTCTCCCTCTCTCCCTCTCTCTACTGTGCTTGCTCATTAGATCGGCTAGTATTGACGGTGGTTCAGATGGACTTCCCTTCCTAAGGTGCGCGGTATGAACCTGGTTGGTGGGAATATGCGTTCAGGGTCTCCAGTGGAACCTGCGTAATGTGTACTAACACTCAGGGAATGAGAAAAGACAACAACCTGAAAAAAGTCTGGGATTCTTGCTTTGCCTTTACTGTAGGCTGCTTTATATGTTGTTATGCTGTGTCTTGCATGGGTGGTTTTGGTTTAGCATGAAGTCAGAAAGTCGGTCTTGCAACATACTTCTCTGTAAATTAAGAAATAATGTTCTTTATTAACAGATGGAAGTATAACAGTTCTTTTTTGTCACATTGGGTAGAAGTTAGTGGTAGCGACATGATTTAGAAAGAAGTTACATAATCTTTAAAAGGATGATTGCCTGTGTCTTACAGCAGTCTGTAATTAAAAAAAATAGTTTGATTTTTGTTGTAAGGAAATGTTAGCTCTGTTAGCTAACATATTTTGGGCAAATATGTGTGTTTAAAATCAGAATCTAAGAGGAATCAAGAGTTTGAAATGGGTGTAAGACAATTGGAAATAGAGCCATAATTTTCAAAAATTTTAGACTTGCTGGCTTCTCGAATTATATAGCAAGTGTCCAAGAGACAAAAGTCCTCAGTGTGTTTATCATGCTTCTATTTCCACCCACAATTCCAAACTGGATTGGACAGAGTCTACATTCTGAAACTGATTTATAAAGTTTGTTCAGTGTGACTGTTTGAAGTCATTTTAACATAAGCATTCCATCATAAGGTCTGGGTTGTTTCATTTGATAAGATATTGGTTATACATTAGTTGGTGAGTCATTCCTACCTATTTGTTTGCAAGAAGTCTTATATTCCTTTAGGTATTTATTTTGAAAACCAAGGACATTTTTGTGGAAATTTAGTTTATATTTTGACTTTAATTTTGTTTCCTGTGTGCATAAGTGTACGTGTGTGTATGTGTGTGCATGTGTGTGTTTCTCTCAGTGGTGCATAGCTGTAGCTATAGTGGGTTTTTCCATTCCTTTTCATTCTGTGTGAGTAAGAATGTGACCACATGGAGCATCCTGTCTATGAGGTACTATAGATTGAAATAAACACGAGTAAAAGTGTTTCAGTTGAAGTACTATTAAGGAATTGAACTGTGCACATTTCTTAAAGAACGTTTTCATCCTGTGAAGGCATGTATAAGATGGACATGAAAATCAGTTCCAGTGATTTCCACTATAAGGTTCAAACAATCATCGCTCTAACTCCTACACTCCTGAAGAATTCTACAGGTCTATACTGCTTTATTTGACCTGTCTTTTGAACTTAGTAACCGTCTACGGCCATACCACCCTGAACGTGCCCGAGCTCGTCTGAACTTAGTAACCATTTATTCTGTATTAATTTTATTAATCGACTTTTACAACAGATTATGTATGTTCTTGGGTAGCCCCAGGAGCAGTCCATATATAGTTATGCTCAATACTCAGTCTATTGCCAACTAACCTTAAGTGATGCATTATAACTTGAGCATTTTTCAAGATATTTTTGTATGTCTATTTTTAGTTGCTCTTGTAATACATGACTTTATTAATACTATTCCATGGATTAAAAACATGAATTTATGAGCCTGGGAGATTTTAGCCATTAGGCTAAGTAAGGTACTTTAGGCCATGTTAAACAGATGAAGCAGGCAAGCCAAGATTGCACAGTATGGGTTGCCAGTGCAATGCAGTCTGTACCTTTAAACTGGATAAAAAGTTGGGGATGGTCATTATTGTTGGCTGTGGAGGCACAGGACTGGATTTGGATGGATCAGCATAAATCAAAGGCCTGACTGAAAAACAACTCTTAATACTGAGTATGGGAGTGCGTGTTCATAATCCCAGCATGTAGATGAAAGAGACAGGCGAGGCATTGTGAGTGGGAGGCTGATCTGGGCTACATAGAAAGTTCCAGGCCAATTTGCGATATCTAGCAAAACTGTCTGAGAAAAAGAAAAGAGAGAAAGAAAGAATGGATTCCGCCTGGCACGTTGAACAACCTCATCCCTCCTTAGCAGAGCAGGTCTCTGTGTGTATGTAGTTGGAACCTTCCCACATTAAGGGACACTAACATACTGACCAGATAGAAAATGTCTGATGACTTTATGTGATTTTGTAATCCTCTTAAGTTAGAAGAATGAAGTTATCACATCAGCAGTCCTTTAAACTGCTTACTTGTTTGTTTTGCTTTATCAGACCTTTGGTCTTCAGCTATTAGATGACCACAGTGATTTGTTTCGGAAGTTATTTTCTGTGTTTGAGGCCTCTTAATCTACAGAGACACTTGTTCCGTTTTAAGTGTGTGATTTTTAGCTTGCTTAGAGAGCAAGTCTCTCTAAGTACAGTCTATGTTGTTCATTGGAAAGCCAAGCATTTCCTCTTCTACCGTAGTTAAAGTAACTAATTGATGACTCAAGAGTTTCTGGACTTTTTTTTTTTTTTTAATTTAAACTAAATAAAGTCCTGAACTTGAGATAGAGTATGTGATTCCTCTTCCCCGTGCGGACCATGTTCTCTGTGTGCAATGCTAAGAATTTTTAGGTGAGATGTGATCTTAATTATCCCAGGATAATTAAGGGGAGCGCATGGCTAATAGACAGTCTAGACAGCTGCGGCCAGATCCAGATCCTGGGAACATCATATAACTCTGTGGCCTGACTCACTTTGCCTGTAAGGAGGTCACACATGTGTTGACTTTTGTCATGGGATAGGTATTCAAATGGGAAGAGACCTTGGCGGGTATGGATTTGGTTCAACTTCTATAGCTTCCACTTCTGCTTCTCTCAGGAAAGCTTAGCTTATCATAATCTCTCAAAACTGATTTACCATTGCAGAGGCGATACCCTTTTGATACTGTTAAGGGGCTGTTGATTCCTTAGTGTTGGCTTGGTGTCCATGTAAACGTTTATTTACATGGGATTAATGCCAGTACACATACATTGTGTATCCTTCCAGCGAAGAATTTTGACCTAATACACTTTTGATGTTCTCAGCAGCATCCTCTTGGCTAAGCATAAACCTGGTTATGCACAGCTTTGTAATTTCTTTATGCAGGGCCATTCAGATACGTTCAAATCATATTTTAAGTCAGTGTTTTACCTTTGGTATCACTGCCACACTTGTGTAAATTGTCAGTGACACAGGAATGCATTTTGTGTTACTGACAAGTAGGCCTTGGCAGATGAAGGAGCAGGGCTTCCCAGGATGTAGGACTGGAAATGTGAATATTGAGAAGGTCCCTAAAACTATACATATTGGTCCTCTACCTGGAGATGTCTCTTTCTGGAAGGATAAAATGCAGGCTGAATTTACACCATTTCAAATCAAGGAAAGTATATTCAAAGCACCATGTATGTATTTTCATTTCATATAACTGAAATGTAGAATCTTATTATTAGTTTGTTAATTAATCTTATTGATTATTTGTTGATGGGTCTTTTATATAATTTCAAGTTAGAACAATTAAGTAATTAAAACAGTACAATTTGAAAACCATGCAAGATTAAAGGAGTATTTTTTTCAAGGAACTGGTGCTTATTGAATGCCTACTAATAGCTTCTTACTTAGAAAAGGAAAAAAAAATCCACATTGTTGAAAGAAAAGTAAGATTGAGTGGTGACACTTGGGAGGCAGAGGCAGGTGGTTCTCTGTGAGTTTGTAGCCAGCCTGGTGTACAGGCAAGTTCCAGGACAGACAGGGCTACACAGAGAAACCCTGTCTCAAAAAATAAATAAATAAAAATAAATAAAGAAAGAAAGAAAGAAAGAGGAAAAAGGCAAACTAAGGCTAAACTTGTCTCTGTGTCAGTGCTAGTAATTTTAATTTTTGAACTGTGGATTGTACTTGTTAAAAATAATTCATTGGATTTTTGCTTGTAGGTTTTGTTTGATTAGTGGAAAGCATTGGCTTTGTGGTTTGATCAGCATGGGTTGGACTCTGAGACTCAACTGTTACTAACTTTTTGACTTTATATGAGCCCTACCTTTAGTTGTTATTTTAGGTGCTCCCGTAAGTATTCCAGTTAATGGCAGCTATATTGGATGAGACCGGTATTGGGACAGTTTAGAACATTGCTTAAATATTTTTCTCCAACATGTGGAAAAAGTACAGAACTGGACTGTTTTGACTTAGTGTGGGTGTGTACCATTCCTAGGGTGTGGTCTCCAGATGGCTTCCTGTAGCAAGATGCAGGAGGAGTCTGGACAGTGATATCCTTTCTCTTAGGGAGACTACCGGTAGCACCGTATGTGACTTACGGTTATATCAGATTGATTAGCGTCTCA